TAAGACGGTTTGTTTTTGTAAACTCATAAATGTCTGAATTTGTTTAAATTGTCTCTTTTACCCATTAGAAAATTATAGTGTTGAATTTATAGATAAATTTATACAATATCACATATTTATTCATCATCATTATGAAATGTACATCTAAATTATATAATTATCATTCATTTAAATGAAAATGTGTCGTTAACGGTATTTAACAATTAAATCATATTAAAATACATCAAGTGAGAAAGGTGAGGATTGATTTGGTAAGGATCGACTGAGAAAAATGATCGATTAAGTTTAATCGATTAAGAAACGTTGTCGATTAGGGTTTTGAGGCAAATAAGAGGTTGATTTACATTTTACCAAATAAGGAGACAATAAGACATAAGTGCATATGAAAAAACAAACAAACAAACAGACTGAATGATCATACCTATTAATGAATCAGACATAAGTATTTTGCTACTGCTTACATTTTTACAGTTTTTCTTATTACTAACTTTAAGAATTTTCGGTATATATTATTTTGCTACCGCTTTACACTTTCACTTTAGTATATGATTTGTATTTTGAAGATGAAGTTAACATGGATGAAGAAGACATCGTGTAAGATGATGTTGATTCGGATGCTGAGCCTGTTGCTTGCAATTAGCTTATTCATGAACGCTTTTTCTAGTTTATTTATGTGAAACTTACTTGCTTAAGTTGATGTTTTGATGTGGAAGTTATATTCTACACACACACATATTATAATTCTAACTATTATATGAATCTCTATTTTTGGACCGCTTTACCATTGCGGTTATTCCAAATCACAGTACTGACGGTGATTTCGTATTTTGACATCCGTAACATCATAACTCATGGGTTAACGGTTCAAGTCTTGTAAGGACACTGAGAATTTTTATAGTTGTTCTACAGGACTCCTAGGATTAGTTGAGGTGCGCACAGGCTGACAAGGACACCCATGATCAACCCATGGATTTGTCGATTTCAAGCACCCGAAATACATCATATGTCTTTATTTCAACAAGGGTTTTCAATTAAATCTTACACGAATATTTTAAATGCATTCAACTGGAATTAATCATCTTAAAACCAAAAACAGATAAAAAAAAAATTAGACAAAGAAGAGGAATTGATGAAATATTTGGATGGCGGGTCGCTTAGCAACTGACAAATTCGAAAACTTAAAGATTAAATTACATTATTTGTTCTTTAAAATGGAGAAGTAAAAAAGTCAAAACCTCTAAAAATTTATATTTAATATTTCCAACGGATTCTCTATTTTGAAGACTAGAAGCGTACTCGCGCAATGCAGCGAGATACATCGTGATTTTAATATTTCATTTTATTCTTTATCTCAGTCGATGTTATAATATGGTTTTATGTGATTTTTAGAAAACGATGATGTTTTTATTTTTGAATAAAATATATGTTTGAAAATATTATAAAAATTTGACAAAAATATATCGATATTAGTATCAAATTAACTATTTGAAATTCCTCATTTTTTGTGTAATTTTTTAATTTAATTTTTTTATAATT